CACATTTTATTGGTAGTTTCTTTAATTCCTTACTTTTAGTGATTTGCTTACCATTCTTATACTTTGCACTAACCGTCGTTGTTTGTATTGTTTTTTTTATTGTAACGTCTGTGAAAAGAGCTTCATAGCTCATCGGATTTCTCGAGGATAAATACAGATTTCGATTGTGACATGCGGCTACGCAGCACGCAGCTTCGTGTGCGGTTAGCGCTGCGCTACGAACCCGGCGGCCCGAGTTCGATTCCCGCTCACGGCCAACACCGGTGACGATCATCTGAACCGTTGCTGGGCCTCCTCCCCAAGGTCGACTCAGCCTCAAATGATTATCCGGTGTAGCGGTGTGTGAACATCAACACCGGAGAGAGAAAGGCGGTCGGGCGTGGTTGCTGGCCACCCACCCCCTCGTGTGTGCCGTGCCGGCCTTCATAGGTGCTGCTCGCTAACAGCACTTGCCCCAACAGTGTGTTAACGCTATACAGGGGATCTTTGTCTTTGTGTGTGCGTGCGTTCAATTTGTTGTGTTTTCCAGCCATGCGCTCACGCATCTGCCGTGACGAGCTTCCCCTCCGTCACGCAACAGTCTCCCCGCCCCCCCCCCTCTCAGCCTCAGCTGTCGCTGCTGCGTGACCCCTGCGTTGACCCCTTCCCCTGAGCAGTCCCATCCCGCGCGTGTCGCCGTGGAGCCGTGAGCTGCATCGCGTTCGTTCGTTGTCTCGGAGAGACAAAGGCAGCCGCGTGTGACCAGCTCGGCTCCCTCCCCCCCACCCCCACCGAAGTCATTTGTCCATCATTAGTTCGAGTGCAGCCGCCAGGCGGATCGTTCCATGGCAGGGTCACGAGAGACGGTGGCGGGTTGGGGAGGCATTGGTCCAGCAGTGGACTGATCACGGCTGTTTGTGACGATGATGAATCATGACATCTTTGATTGGTTGCCATAATTCGGCGCTCTGAGTTGTGGCCGTCTTCTCTGCATCGCGAGTGTGAAATGTTACGCCGTAGTTTGGCTCTTGGTAGAGAGTGCTGGGTGAGAGTGCTGGGTGCAGAGTGGTGGTGGCGGAGCGTGGTGGTGGAGCGTATTGGTGGTGGTGAGTGGTGGTGGTGGTGAGTGGTGGTGGTGGTAGAGAGTGGTGGTGGTGGTGAGTGGTGGTGGTAGAGAGTGGTGGTAGAGAGTGGTGGTGGTGGAGAGTGGTGGTGGTGGTAGAGAAAGTTGTGACGCTGTGACGAGGACAGTCTGCAGTCACGTGCTTTTACCCAATTTCGTAGTTTGCGAGTCACTTTTTCAAATTCGGATAACGTTCCACCGCTGTGACCACGTGGTCAGTGAACACACAAGAGTCACGTGTGCCTCCTTGCACTGTGACCACGTGGTCAGTGAACACACAAGAGTCACGTGTGCCTCCTTGCACTGTGACCACGTGGTCAGTGAACACACAAGAGTCACGTGTGCCTCCTTGCGCTGTGACCACGTGGTCAGTGCACACACAAGAGTCACGTGTGCCTCCTTGCGCTGTGACCACGTGGTCAGTGCACACACAAGAGTCACGTGTGCCTCCTTGCACTGTGACCACGTGGTCAGTGAACGCGCAAACTGACCGGGCCTCGTCCCTACAGCATCTCCTGCCGCCCTGGATTGGCTGAAGGGCCTTAACATTCATCTCTGACATCATCTCTACAAACTGTCTCTCACAGGGCACACGAAAGAAGAAGAAGCTGCTGCCAGGTCGCGCATCTTCCCCTCCAGTACCCGAGCAGTGCGGCTAAGGTGGTCGCAGCGACGGCGACAGATGCAGAGAAGTTTTAGGCCTCTTTCTAGGTGCGGGCCTCACGTGTGAGCTCACAAATCCTTGAAAGATCTGGACAAAGTTCCTCCAGCAGGCAATGCTGCATTGGCTGAGTCATGTAGCCCGCATACCAAGCCACCGCATGCATAAACAGCTTTTGTTCAGCCAGATAGAGGGGGTTAGAAGGGCGCGGTACGGGCTAGAGAAGAGATGGAGTGATGTGGTAGAGGAGGACGTGGAGCTGAGTGGACTTGCCGATGACCGGTACCAGCGGTGTCAAGATCGGCCTCTGTGGAGGAGGCTCGTGAAGGACGCTGCTACTTGGCAGTTGGAGGGAGTCGCCCTCCAGCAACAACGGAGGGCAGAGGAGCGACGCTCACAACAACGAACAGAGCACCGGGTGGCTAAAACACAGCAAGCCTGCAGAGTAGGGGGCACAGGTGGTGCATCAGCCACTCATCTCAGTCAGTCGACTCGTGGCACCTGGGTCTGTCCCGTGACCTCCTGCCAGGGGCGTTCGACACTTCACGTGGCCTTAACGTGCACATAGCCTGGCACAAGCGCCGTGGTGACGTCATCGTCACTTAGTGGCGAATGGCGGTAGTTTGTCTGTGTGTGCGTGCGCGCATGTGTGTGTGTCTGGGAGACAAAGGCGGCCGGGCGTGGTGCTGGCCACCCACCCCCTCGTGTGCCTTGCCGGCCCTCATAGGTGCTTGCTAACAGCACTTGCCCCAACAGTCTGTTAGAGGCTATAGGGGGATCTTTGTCTTTGTGTGTAGAACGGTAGCGTCGCGGTTAGCGCTGTGCTGCGCCACGAACCCGGCGACCCGAGTTCGATTCCCGCTCAAGGCGAACATCGCTAACGATTATCTGTTGCTGTTGTTGTTGCTGTTGTTGTTTCTGCTGTTTGTTGTTGCTGCTCTCCCCGTGTCGAAGGCGGTTTTGCCGCAATTCGTCTCCCGTGTGGATTGACTCGTGATAAACAGACCACGTGCTGTCGGAGCGCGGCAGGCGCAGTGGTGGACAGTAGAAACACGCGTTGTCATTATCATTGTTCAAATATCTCATTACACTTGAAGAAGGGAAAAAACCCAATCTAATTTCACGACGACGCCCGTTTCACCTCGCGGATGTTCATCTTGGGAATATTCACAGTCCACCTCTGTTCATTGCCCTCTCTCCCTCCCTCTCCCTCCCTCTCTTTTTTTACGATCAGTGGAAACAAGAAGATGCTCGGTGTATTCGGCACTTTGCTTCGTTCATCATTTCGTATTTTTTTTTAAACCGGGCTTTATGTAAAACCCCCACCTCTCGCTCACTCTCTCGCTCACTCTCTCGCTCTCTCTCTCGCTCACTCTCTCGCTCTCTCTCTCTCTCGCTCACTCTCTCGCTCTCTCTCTCTCGCTCACTCTCTCGCTCTCTCTCGTTCTGCACGCAGCCCTTCTCGCAGTCCGACGGCCTCCGACGGGTAGCTCATTTCAGCATGCAGAGCTCCCCGTCATCTGCCACCGAGCACACGGCCTCCTCCATCGCGCACTGCTCCTTGAAGGCCGGCACAGCGTGGGTCAGCCGCGCATGGCGGAACTCCAGCCCACACACCCTGGCTCCGACCAGAGCGCGGAAGATGCCCAGGCTGCTGGTCGGACGTTTCTTCTCCAGGGCCACCTTCCTCGCCCTGTATATGGCGAGCTTGGCATAGCCAACGAGCACGTTGACCAGCCCCTGGAGATGTTGGGGTCCGTCGCCCTTTTGGTATCCAAAGATGAGGACCGTCGGGGAGAAGTGGAGGCTGAACTTTAGGAGGATGTTTCTCAGGACCTTGAACAACAAATCCAGGCTCTTGCACTCCACGTATTGGTGCGCCACCGTCTCCACTTTACCGCAGAACCGGCACTCCGGGGACGTGTCGGTGAAGCGCGCCAGGGAGGCGTTGGTGGTGCCGGTGCCGTGGGCGATGCTCCAGCTGAGGTCACCGATGCGGTTGTACGGCGGGCTGGAGTAGAGTTGCCTCCAGCGAGGCCTCTCCGGAGAGATGCAGGGCAGGGCTTTCCTCCAGGCATGGTTCTTGTGGTTCCTCAGGGTGTCCTGTTGGTGAAACCGGACTATGTAGGAGTAGAGCACCTTCCTCTTTACATTTTCGAAGGGCACCTCCAGTAGGTTTTCCAGCACAGGTTGTGATCCGCCTTCGCTTGTCGGCATTGGCGATGCAGTGGCACGACGGAGAGCTCCGGTGGAGGGGGACCGAGAGGGGCCTCGTCATCCCCAACGCCGATGGGGGGGCGTTCTCCCCGCTGCCGCTGAGAAGGCCCCCTTGGCTTCGGCCAGGATGCGGGCAGCCACCCGGAGCGACTGCAGCCCCGTCTTTGTGGCCATGTCTGCTGGTCCGAGCCACCGGCCCCTTGTTCCAGGTTCCACCAGATCTCCCATCCTGGTGAGCCGCGCATTGGTGAGGCGCCTCTCCATGCCGTGGGAGGCGGTGGTGGATGGCAGCTTTGTTTGCGGGTTCCTGAGGATTGGTTCGAAGACCAGATCTTCGGCCGATCGCAGTAGGTTCAGCCTCCTGATAGCGAGGGAGCTCCACGTCTGCAGGATGCTCCTGTAGAAAGGTGGCGGCAGCTGTCCCAGTGAGAGGCCCTGCAGGTCCATATAGAATAGTAGTTTGGAGCACTGCAGAGCCCCCAGCTGTTTCAGGAGGAAGGAGGCCGTGACGCTCCAGGCCGGTGCAGGGGTGGCGTGCAGGAACTTTCCCTCCCCCTCTCCCTCCCCCTCTCCCTCTCCCTCCCTCTCTCTCTCCCCCTCTCCCTCCCTCCATCCCTCCCTCCCTCTCTCTCCCCCTCTCTCTCCCCCTCTCCCTCCCCTCCCCCTCTCCTCCCTCCCCCTCTCCCTCCCCCTCTCCCTCCCTCCCTCCCTCCCTCTCTCTCCCTCTCCCTCCCTCCCTCTCTACCCGGGTGCCACGAATTCCCATTTTCGTCGTTGAATTTTCAGTCCAAATCCTCCACGCGGGGCAACCTGACAATGTTGCCGGCAACATGAATGCCGTACGCAGATCTCGGCGTCACGCTCCAAGGTGGATATCACCGCCAAGTGCGCAGTGCCGATCCCGACATTCCCGCTCCTGACCTCCGACTCAGCCCTGTGACCACACAACGTCGCCGGATTGTCACGACTGGCGCTTGCCCCCCCCCCCCCCTAAGACGCCCCCCGCCAGGACCGCGGCCATCAAAGCCTCTCCACGGAGTGGCGGTCACCTCGCCCGCGCAGGGCCCCGAGGACGTGGCGCGCGTAAACGTCGCGCAGGTTCGCCCGCGGCCCCGCGTCCCCGTCCGCGTCCCCGTCCGTGTCCCCGTCCTCCTGGGCCCGCGCGAGGCCGCGGAGCGCGCGCCCGTGGCGCTCGGCCGCGTCGCGCAGCCGCAGCGCGCGGTAGAAGGCGGCGAACTTGTCGTTGATGATGGCGATGGGCAGGGCGAGCACCAGCAGCCCCGACAGGATGCACGCGAAGGCTGCCAGCTTGCCGGCGGTCGTGTCGGGCCGCACGTCCCCGTAGCCCACCGTGGTCATGGAGGTGGTGGCCCACCACCACGCGCTCGGCACGCTCGTGAAGCCCGTGCCCGGGGAGGAGCTCTCCAGCGCGTACTCGAGCACCGAGAAGATGGAGACGCCCACGGAGAAGAAGAGCAGCAGCAGCCCCACCTCCTCGTGGCACTGCTTGATGGTGACGCCCAGCGCCTTGAGGCCTGCGCGGCCACGGGCGGCAGGGCGAGAGAGAGAGACGAGGCAGAGGTGAGCGGCGGAGACTTGATGAAGGTTTATTTTCACCACAACCACCACCACCATCGTCGTCGTCGTCGTCTCGCAGCTGTCCGCGCGCGGCAGCAAGGTGGACGTAGCAGCAGGCTGCAAGTGGGCATTGGTGTGCCAGGCGGGGAAGGGCAATGTTGGTGTGGCTGTCCAATTAAGCCCTTCATCAAACATGAACCGTGACATCGGCACGCGTGGCCTACTCCTCCTTTGTTGTTCCGATGACGTCCGCTGTCGCGGCGCGCGTGTTTAGGGCCAACGCACCCGCAGTATTAACCGGGGCGGCCGCTCGGTTCGAACCGCGAAACCTCTGCAACGAGCGGCGATCTAGCCGCCGGCTCGGTCGACGGCATCACCAGCCACAGGAGAACGCCGCCTGAACCGGTAACCTGGTTGGGGCCACCTGAACCGGTTACCATTGTCTCAATCAAGATGGGGTCGAGTGCTGTTTGAGTCGGAACCGAGGGTTTGCTCAACCCAACCACGCGTGTGCACAGTGCATCTCTGTTAAGCCGCTGATGGTGGCCGGGGCAGGGAATCTGACTCAAGTCACAGCAGCGCACAAACCGCGACCCCGGCCCCCACGTCGATATAATTGGAGCACGGAACACAACACACGCCGCAGTACACCCTCACACACAGTACACACATACAGTACACACCCACACACAGTACACACACACAGTACACACCACACACAGTACACACACACAGTACACACCCACACAGTACACACACACAGTACACACCCACACACAGTACACACACACAGTACACACCCACAGAGTACACACGCCGCAGTACACACTCACACACAGTACACACACACAGTACACACCACACTACACACACAGTACACACCCACACAGTACACACACACACAGTACACTCACACACAGTACACACACATAGTACACACATACACTGCAGCACACACACACACCACACTACACACACACACTGCAGTACACACACACAGTACACACACACAGTACACACACACACAGTACACACACAGTACACACACACACCGCAGTACACACACAGTACACACCCACACACCGCAGTACACACAGTACACACACCACACTACACACACACAGTACACACACACAGTACACACACACAGTACACTCACTCACAGTACACACACACAGTACACACCCACACACAGTACACACATACACTGCAGCACACACACACACCACGCTACACACACACACTGCAGTACACACACACACAGTACACACACACACAGTACACACACACACAGTACACACACACCGCAGTACACACACAGTACACACCCACACACCGCAGTACACACAGTACACACACCACACTACACACACACAGTACACACCACACTACACACACAACACAGTACACACACATGCCGTAGTACACACCCACACACAGTACACACCCACACACAGTACACACAACACAGTACACACACATGCCGCAGTACACACACACAACACAGTACACACATGCCGCAGTACACAGACACACACAGTACACACACTGCAGTACACACACACACTGCAGTACACACACACAAACCGCACACTACACACGCACAGTACACACACAACACAGTACACACAACACAGTACACACACACACAACACAGACAACACAGTACACACACACCGCAGTACACACACCGCAGTACACACACACGCCGCAGCACACACACACACTGCAGCACACACACACTGTAGTACACACACACACTGTAGTACACACACCACACTACACACACTGCAGCACACACACAGTACACACACACACTGCAGCACACACACACAGCACACACACACCACACTACACACACACGGCACACACACACCACACTACACACACACACTGCAGCACACACACAGTACACATACACACTGCAGCACACACACACACACACTGCAGCACACACCCCACACTACACACACACCACACTACACATACACACACTGCAGCACACACCCCACACTACACACACACCACACTACACACACTGCAGCACACACACACACTGCAGCACACACCACACTACACACACACACTGCAGCACACACACACACTGCAGCACACACCACACTACACACACACAGCACACACACACACACACGCCGTGGGGCACTGCGCTACGCGAGGGCTGCTGCTACCTGGGAGGGTTTCTGGTCGTGGAAACGGAGATCGACGAATCGCGCTACACGCGCGTCCGCGACTCGGAGGGCCCCTAGCGCACTCCCTCTCTGCCCTGCCCCCAATGTTCGCCCTCAATGTTCGCCCCCCCCCCTCTACTCCCCCCCTCTCCTCCCCCCCTCTCCTCCCTCCCCCCTCTCCTCCCTCCCCTCTCCCCCCTCTCCTCCCTCCCCTCTCCCCCCTCTCCTCCCCCCACTCCTCCCCCTCCTCTCCTCCCCTCCCTCTCCTCCCTCCCCTCTCTCCCCCCCTCCCCTGTCTCCGCTCTCCCCCCTCTCCTCCCTCCTCCCCCCTCTCCTCCCCCTCATCCCCCCCTCTCCTCCCCCTCCTTTCCTCTCCTCCCTCGCCTCTCCCCCTCTCCTCCCCCCCCTATCCTCCCTCCCTCCCCTCCCTCTCCTCCCTCCCCTCTCTCCCCCCCTCCCCTGTCTCCGCTCTCCCCCCTCTCCTCCCTCCTCCCCCCTCTCCTCCCCCTCATCCCCCCCTCTCCTCCCCCTCCTTTCCTCTCCTCCCTCCCCTCTCCCCCTCTCCTCCCCTCCCTCTCCTCCCTCCCTTCTCCTCCCTCCCCTCCCCCCTCTCCTCCCTCCCCTCTCCTCCCTCCCCTCTCCTCCCTCCCCTCCCCCCTCTCCTCCCTCCCCTCTCCTCCCTCCCCTCTCCTCCCTCCCCTCTCCCCCCTCTCCGCCCTCTCCCCCCTCCCTCCCCCGTTGCAGGAGCTCTCAGTAACGGAAATAGCAACCTCCGGGTGGGTGCGAACTGCGCATCTCGTCAGCCCCACCGGCGCACTCGGTTTGGCTTTTAAAGAACATAAATAAATAAATAATTGCCAAGGTCATTGCGTCCGCCTGGCAGCCTCGCTCACGAAGATCCCTCGGGGAGCCGAGGAGCCCCCCACCTCCCCCGCCCCTCCCCTCCTCCCCTCCCCAATACCACACACACACAACGTACACACACACAACGTACACACACAATCACTATGTACACACACACACTCCCTACTTACATACACACTCACTATGTACACACACACTCCCTACTTACACACACACTCCCTACTTACACACACAATCACTATGTACACACACACACTCCCTACGTACACACACAATCACTATGTACACACACACTCCCGACGTACACACACACACTACGTACACACACACACTACGTACACACACACTCTCTAAGTACACACACACTCCCGACATACACACACTCCCTACGTACACACACACACACTACGTACACACACACAACTAACTCAACACAATCAGCAAAAACACTGCGGCCCTAAAACTAAACATATCGAATATGCGACGTTTCGGGCAATGTTCCTTCTTCATAGCGCAGTTATTCACGAATGTGTTGAGTTCCTGTGTTCGTTATTCTTGCTTAAACATCACATTTAGACAAAGACCCCACCCCCGTGTATGGCTTTCACAGACTGCTGGGGACAAGCGCTGTCAGTAGTCGCGAGTAGCAGCAGCAGCAGCAAGCTATGAAGGCCGGCACTGTGGCACACGAGGGGGGGGGGGGTGGCTGTCCAGCACCACGTCCACTCGCTCGCTCGGCTCGCAGACTCCAAAGCGGGACGCGAGAGCCGTGCAGGGCAAAGATCACCTCCGGGACCTCGGGCAACACATCGACGCGCTGCGATCATGTTGTGCCTCGTGTCGCAGCGTGGAGTGGCCGTGACGAGGCGACGAGTTCTCTCCACCTCGCCTGTCGGCTGCGTCTCGAACCCCCCACGGTGCGGCTGATGTCGCAACAAACACACAAAGAAATCCGCCAACACCGCGGGAGATCCACGGCGTTCGCTCGATGGGTCACGACTACCGCGTGTGCAGTCGGGGCTTGTCGCGCCTGTCGTTCGGCACGATGTCCGACGTTTCGCTCCACGAGGTGTGGGGGCTTCCGTTGCGCAAAGGAGTTGTCGGCACGCGGGGCGAAAGGTCGGACGTCGCTGAATGGATTCACAGCCATCGATCGCAACGACACACGAGACGTCACCGCCGCCACCAAACACCGCTACATCACAAACACCGCGTTTCCTAAGCGCCGTGGCGCCCGCACGGTTTGCAGCTCGGAGATGTTAGCTACCTCGCCTGGTATACAGGAGGTCGTGAGTTCGATCCAGAACACAACACTGCCTGCTGCTGTGTATTTGGAGTTTGCGGTGTCTCTAACTCTCTCTCTCTTCACGTGGTCGCGTGGATTTTTCTCCGTGTCTTCTGGTTTTTCCCTCCACATTTAGAATCAACGTCCACGCGTTTAGAGCGTTTGACTGCTGTGCATTTCCACGTGACGCTAAGCGACCTTGTTTGAGCTATGATTTGTGATAGCCAGGTCGCGTTTGGAAAAAACAAAGCTACAAACCTCAGTGGGCCTTGTCTGGTCAAATAAAAACAGTTTAGTTTTAGCATTTTTATGAAATGTTAGCCATTCGCTTACCTTTCTTATACATTTAGAATCAGCGTCACGCGTTTAGAGTAATTGGATGCTGCCATACATTTCCACACGATGATGATGTTGATAATACACCCACTTGGTTGAGCTATCATTTGCGATGGCTCAGCGGGGCCTTCTGTCGTCAAATAAAAACTAAAATCAGTGACCAGGAGTCACGAGTTCAGACTCGGCTCGTGCCGAGCAGCACGCGGCACCGCCAGCAAACCCCGCCAGGGCCGTCGCTCCGCGCCAAAGGAACGTGGCAATGTCCCCACTGGGCTGTGAACGGCGGACGAGCAGCGCCCGGCTCCCTGGACACTCGACGCGGTGCGGTACGATACAGTGCGGTGTGGTGCGGTGCGACGCGGTGCGGCACGGTGCGGTGCGACGCGATGCGGTGTGGTGCGGTGCGACGCGGTGCGGCACGGTGCGGTGCGACGCGGTGCGGTGTGGTGCGGTGCGACACAGTGCGACGCGGTGTGGTGCGACGCGGTGCGGCACGGTGTGGTGTGGTGCGGTGTGGTGTGGTGCGGTGTGGTGTGGTGCGGTGTGGTGTGGTGTGGTGCGGTGCGGTGTGGTGCGGTGCGGTGTGGTGTGGTGCGGTGTGGTGCGGTGCGGTGCGGTGCGGTGCGGTGAGGTGCGGTGCGGTGCGGTGCGGTGTGGTGTGGTGCGGTGTGGTGCGGTGTGATGTGGTGCGGTGCGGTGTGGTGTGGTGCGGTGTGATGTGGTGCGATGCGGTGTGGTGCGGTGTGATGTGGTGCGGTGTGATGTGGTGCGGTGTGGTGTGGTGCGGTGCGGTGCGGTGCGGTGTGATGTGGTGCAGTGTGATGTGGTGCGGTGCGGTGCGGTGCGGTGCGGTGTGATGTGGTGCGGTGCGGTGCGGTGTGATGCGGTGTGGTGCGGTGCGGTGTGGTGTGGTGCGGTGCGGTGCGGTGCGGTGCGGTGTGGTGCGGTGTGATGTGGTGCGGTGTGATGTGGTGCGGTGCGGTGCGGTGCGGTGTGATGTGGTGTGGTGCGGTGCGGTGCGGTGTGATGTGGTGCGGTGTGATGTGGTGCGGTGCGGTGCGGTGCGGTGTGGTGCGGTGCGGTGCGGTGCGGTGCGGTGCGGTGTGGTGCGGTGCGGTGCGGTGTGGTGCGGTGCGGTGCGGTGTGATGTGGTGCGGTGTGATGTGGTGCGGTGTGGTGCGGTGTGGTGCGGTGTGATGTGGTGCGGTGTGGTGCGGTGCGGTGCGGTGCGGTGTGGTGCGGTGTGATGTGGTGCGGTGTGGTGCGGTGCGGTGCGGTGCGGTGTGGTGCGGTGTGATGTGGTGCGGTGTGGTGCGGTGCGCCGTCGCGTGCCCAACATCTCTGAGCTGCGGCTCAGCCTCATCGAGACCGCCGGCTCAACGGAGCTGCAGTGCGAGTCGCCGTGCGGTCGCTGACGCCGCCGGCTCCAGGGAGCTGTTGGGATGATTTGCGGTCGTGACGCCGGCGGTGACACGAGTCGCAGCCGGTGTCGCCGTTCTCTCGTGAGGCCCCAACAGCAGTGCACGAGTAGCATCGGTGTTGGCTGTGGCCACGAGCCTCTGGGAGCCCCGTTAGGTGTAAGGGAGCTCTTTTCCTCGACTCTGCGGAACCCACCTCGCCTTGCTCATTTGAGCGATCGTGGCGGTTGCCGTCTGCGTGAGACCTGCCCCCCCCCCCACGTGAGACCTGCCCCCCCCCCCACGTGAGACCTGCCCCCTCCCCCCACGTGAGACCTGCCCCCTCCCCCCACGTGAGACCTGCCCCCCCCCCACGTGAGACCTGCCCCCCCCCCCCCCACGTGAGACCTGCCCCCCCCCCCCACGTGAGACCTGCCCCCCCCCCCACGTGAGACCTGCCCCCCCCCCCCCACGTGAGACCTGCCCCCCCCCCCACGTGAGACCTGCCCCCCACCACGTGATCCCCTCACTCGCCTGTGGAGTGACGGCCCAGCTTGAGCATGCGCAGCGACCTCGACAGCTTGAGCACCTGCACGACGCGGCCCACGTTCTCGAGCTCCGTGGAGGCCCCCGCCAGCCGCTCCACCGCCAGGGTGACGTAGAAGGGCGCGATGGCCACCAGGTCCACGATGTTGACGAAGCGCGCAGCGAAGCGCCGCTTGCGCCGCGCGCACGCGAAGCGCAGCGCCAGCTCGCCCGTGAACCACGCCATGCACACGCCCTCCAGGACCCCCAGCGCCGTCGCCTCGTCGTCGCCGGCCGCCGGCGCGAACTCGGGCGCGCTCACCAGGGCCATGTTGGCGATGGACAGCACCACGAAGGCGACCGACACGGCCGCCACGGCCCGCGACGCGCGCGACGAGTCGGGCCGCTCCAGCGTGGCCCAGATGGCGCGGCGCAGACGGCGGCACCGGCCCCGCTCGGAGCCGCCGCCCTCGCCGTCCGAGTCCGAGTCCCGGTCCGCGTCTCGTCGCGCGCCGTCCTCGCCGCCGCGGTCATCGGCGGCGGCGGCGTTGCGGCGCGCGTAGCGGTCCTGGCAGCAGGAGGCCAGCAGCGCGTCCTCGAGTCCCCAGTACTCGAGCTCCTGGCCGAACGAGACGGCGCACAGAGACTCGCGCAGGTGCAGGCGGCCCGTGCGGTAGAAGTGCAGCACGCACTCGAACGCCTCCGCGCTGCGGTCGAAGAAGAACTCGCTCGACGCTCCCACGTCGTCGCAAAGCTGCAGGGGGTGCGGGTGGCCGCCGCCCCCGGGCCCCGCGTCTCGCTGCCCCCCGCCTCCTCCTCCTCCTCCACGGCGCCGCCGCCACCGCCACAGCTTGGCGAGGCGACCGAGTCGCGAGCGCGGGTAGGAGTCGAGCACCGCGCACGGCAGCGAGTGGCGCGCGCCGCCCACGTTGATGGACACCAGCTCGTCGCTGCCCTGGGATGGTGGTGGCGGTGGTGGTGGTGGTGATGGTGGTAGTGGTGATGGTGATGGTGGTGATGGTGGTGATGGTGGTGGTGGTGGTGATGGTGGTGAGGGTGGTGGTGGTGATGGTGGTGATGGTGGTGATGGTGGTGGTGGCGGTGGTGGTGACGGTGGTGGTGCTCGCATCACCGCCGCGGCTAAGAGACGCCGCCTCTCCCGAGGGGTGAGACGAGACTTGCGTCTGCTGGTGGCCTCGGACCCGGTCGGAGATTTGCTGCACGCGACGAAACAACAAACCGCGACCCCCGTTTAACGTGGTTCCGAACCTTCATCCGAATACATCTCAGCGTCTGGGAGTTGTAGAAGAAGCGAGCGCTTCTCTCCGCTGTGCGGAGCAGAGAGGGTCACTTGATGGGATCTCGAGAGTGACCCCCCCCCCCCCTCTTCCCTGGGTCGTGTGCTCACACCGAGGGGCTGCACTGCTCTGTGATATATTCTTTGGGTTTGTCGGTAAAGCCACGTGGATAGAAAAATAAAAATAACAAAAATAATAAAATATCACGACGTTTCGATCGCAACACAAGCAATCGTCATCAGGTGAAAAAATAGCGGGAGAGCTACTGAAGCAGGACATTTTTTTTATATAAAAAATAATTGCTCTGCGAGAATTCCCAATGGGTCCTTCTTCTCGTACCGCGATGCTCCTACAACTACTCCGACTCTATTTTAGTTTTACCAGGTAAGGCCCGACTGAGCTTTCTAGAAGCTATTTTTAGAAGCGATCCGACTCACAAATGACGGCTCAACGAAGCGGCTTATCGTCGTGTGGAGATTTACAGGACGGCCAAACACTCTGAACGCGTGGTGATGTCGATTCTATATGTGGAGGGGAAAAACCGGAGGGCCCGGAGAAAAATCCACGCGACCACGGGGAGAGAGAGAGACACCGCAGACTCCAAATATACAGCAGCAGTCGTCCGGGTCGGTATCGAACCCACGACCTCCTGTACACCAGGCGAGGTAGTCGACATCTCATAGCCACCGTGATGAGAGAGAGACGCAAACTCCAAATATACAGCACTCGTCAGGGTCGGTATCGAACCGACGACCTCCTGTACACCAGGCGAGGTAGTCAACATCTCATAGCCACCGTGATGATGAGAGACACCGCAGACTCCAAATAACCAGCAGTCGTCAGGGTCGGTAAGGAACCCACGACCTCCTGTACACCAGGCGAGGTAGTCAACATCTCATAGCCACCGTGATGATGAGAGAGAGACACCGCAGACTCCAAATATACAGCAGTCGTCAGGGTCGGTAAGGAACCCACGACCTCCTGTATACCATGCGAGGTAGTCAACATCTCCTAGCCACCGTGATGAGAGAGAGACACAACGCAAACCCCAAATACGAAGCAGCAGGCGTCAGGGTCGGTATCGAACCCACAACCTCCTACATACCAGGCGAAGCAATGCATATCTCATAGCCACCGTGCCGATAGCAACGACCGCGCAACAATTGACGGTGAAACACGTGAAGTTGTTGTTGTTGTTATTGTTGTTGTTTGTTGAGCAGCAGCCCCGACACACCGAGGAGGGGGGGGGGGACAGGACACTCACGTGACGACGCTACTGTTGCGAGATGTTGACTACCTCGCCTGGTGCGCAGGAGGTCGTGGGCTCGATCCCGACCCTGACAATGCCTGCTGCTGCTGTATTTGGAGTTTAGTCTTGATTTGAAGCTTTCGTGACTGCAGGCATTCATACTCTCGGTAAAGTCGCGAAGGTATAAAAAAATTACAAAATAAATCACGACGTCTCGGTCGCAACACAAGCAAGCGTCCGTCTTCAGGTGATTTTCTATCTATCTACGGGACTTTACCGAAAGAACCAGAGAGTATTTGGAGTTTGTGGTGTCTCTCTCTCTCTCCCCGTGGTCGCGTGGCAAGCCCTCCGCTTTTTCCCCTCCACAAGTCGAAGCACACATCTAGACTCTAGAGGGTTCGGCTGCTCCACGTGATTCGCCACTTCGTTGGGCTATCACTTGCGGCCAGCTCGCTCCTGAAAAAGAGCTATTACATAGCTCGGTGGGCTGCTCTAGCTGGTAAAATAATAATAATAATACAAAATAGTTTTAGATTTAGACTCGGAGACCGCGGAATGAGGCCGCGGAATGAGACCGGCGGGCACGCGTCGCAATTCCATCCGTGATTTCACCACCACACCTCGCCCTGAGCACGCACAGCGCACGCCAATCCACTGCTACACCCAGGCCTCTCGCCCCCTCGCTCAAGGGAGAGCGTGCTGGATATCGCGGGTTGGCGCTCGGGGAGAGGGAGGGAGGGGAGGGAGGGGGAGAGGGATGAGAGGGAGGGAGGGGGAGAGGGAGGGAGAAGAGGGAGGGAGGGGAGGGAGGGAGAGGGAGGGAGGATAGGGAGGATAGGGAGGGAGGGAGGAGAGGCAGGGAGGGAGGAGAGGGGGGGAGGAAATGGAGTGAGAACACTTCCGACAGAATTCGTCGCTGATGTTACAGAGCCGTGACCCGGTAACCCAAGTCAAGGGGCGCTGGGGTTCGTAGCGCGCCGCTCGATATTAGGCGGTGCTCGGCTCGCTCATCCAGCAGTAGAGTGGCACGGGGCAGGGCCACGTCACACGTTGACGTCGAGCATGAGAGGGGAGCTAAGGGGGATCTTCTCCACAGGCTGCGTTGTTCTCTTCATCTTCTCTCGGGGACGTGCCCATTCCTCCACGGCGATAGCTGCGTCCAAACAGTGACCAATGCAGACCTGACAAAAAGGTTGCGCGCAGAAGTTGGACAACCTGATGATGCAGGCAGTGACGAGGAGGTAACTGGAGCTTTATGTGCAGCAGGGTAAACAACAGGACAATTAAATGCGTGTCGTTGTTGTTGTCGTTGTTGTTGTTTGTTTGTTGTTTGTTTGTTGTTCGGAAGAATGGAAGGAACCGTCAAGGCGGGAAGACTCGAACCAACAGCAGCGAATGTTTTGACGAGACTGGCGCATGGAGGACAGCGGGAACAGCACGTGACCACGTGAGCACTGGACACCCACGACGACTACCACGGGGCTGTCCGCCCGTGGGTCGTGATGACGATGACGATGACACAGCGAGCGGTTTACTTGACGTGGTGTGCCGGGCCCCGGTACATATTTCCCGGGGCGCCGACCCGGGCATAGGCACGGCCCGGGTGACGCTCGTGGGTTAATAATGGAAATAAAATAACAACACATGGAGCGTGTGTACCTTGTTTGTTTGTTTGTGATTATTAATGAGAAATGAGTAAAAAATTGGACGCCGTCTGCGCGCGTTCTTGCGGCGAAGAGGCATTGAAGGATGGGAGGGGGGGCGTTACGGGCATCAGATCTCTCTACTATCAACCAATTGCCCAGCTCGTCGCCCATTATCTACATACACTGTGTGTTTGTGTGTGTGTGTTTGTGTGTGTGTGTGTTTGTGTGTGTTTGTTTGTGTGTTTGTGTGTGTTTGTGTGTGTTTGTGTGTTGTGTGTTTGTGTGTTGTGTTTGTGTGTGTTTGTGTGTGTGTGTTTGTGTGTGTGTTTGTGTGTGTGTGTTTGTGTGTGTTTGTGTGTGTGTGTTTGTGTTTGTGTGTGTGTGTGTTGTGTGTGTTTGTTTGTGTGTGTTTGTGTGTGTGTGTGTTTGTGTGTGTATTTGTGTCTGTGTTTGTTTGTTGTGTGTTTGTGTGTTTGTGTGTGTGTTTGTGTGTGTTTGTTTGGTGTGTGTTTGTGTGTGTGGTTGTGTGTGTGTGTTTGTGTGTGTGTGTTGTGTGTGTGTTTGTGTCTGTGGTTGTGTGTGTGTTTGTGTGTGTGTGTTTGTGTGTGTGTGTGTGTTTGTGTGTGTGTGTTTGTGTTGTGTGTGGGTTTGTGTGTGTGTGGTTTCTGTGTGTGTTTGTTTGTGTGTGTTTGTGTGTGTTTGTGTGTTGTGTTGTGTGTGTGTGTGTTTGTGTGTGTGTTGTGTGTGTGTGTTTGTGTGTGTTGTGTGTGTGTGTGTTGTGTGTGTTTGTGTGTGTTTGTGTGTGTGTTTGTGTGTGTGTTTGTGTGTGTGTGTTTGTGTGTGTTTGTGTGTGTTTGTTTGTGTGTGTTTGTGTGTTTGTGTGTTTGTGTGTGTGTGCTTGTGTGTGTGTGTGTTTGTGTGTGTGTTTGTGTGTGTGTTTGTGTGTGTGTGTGTTTGTGTGTGTTTGTGTGTGTTTGTGTGTGTGTCTGTGTGTGTGTGTTTGTGTCTGTGTGTGTGTGTCTGTGTGTGTTTGTGTGTGTGTTTGTGTGTGTGTGTTTGTGTTTGTTTGTGTGTGTTTGTGTGTGTGTGTTTGTGTGTGTGCGTGTTTGTTTGTGTGTGTTTGTGTGTGTTTGTGTGTGTTTGTGTGTGTGTTTGTTTGTGTTGTGTGTTTGTGTGTGTGTTTGTGTTTGTCTGTGTGTTTGTGTGTGTGTGTTTGTGTGTGTGTTTGTGTTTGTGTGTGTGTGTTTGTGTGTGTGTGTTTGTGTGTGTGTGTTTATGTGTGTGTGTTTGTGTGTGTTTGTGTGTTTGTGTGTGTTTGTGTGTGTGTTTGTTTGTGTGTGTTTGTGTGTGTTTGTTTGTGTGTGTGTTTGTGTGTGTTTGTGTGTGTTTGTGTGTTTGTGTGTGTGTGTTTGTGTATTTGTGTGTGTGTGTTTGTGTGTGTTTGTGTGTGTGTGTTTGTGTGTGGTTGTGTTTGTGTGTGTGTTTGTGTGTGTTTGTGTGTTTGTGTGTGTTTGTGTGTGTGTTTGTGTGTGTGTTTGTGTGTGTTTGTGTGTTTGTGTGTGTGTGTGTTTGTGTGTGTTTGTGTGTGTGTGTTTGTGTGTGTGTGTGTGTCTGTGTGTGTGTTTGTGTATGTGTGTGTTTGTGTGCGTTTTCCAACATGTAATCGCAGGGGGCTTTCGCCACCAAATAATAGTTCGGTAAACTACCCCTTTTACCCTTTTCTGGAAGCAAAACAGTTGTGTTGAGATCCATATTAGAGGTCTTTGTTTGGGGGGTGGGGGGTTAAATCGCGTAAATATAAATGTGTCGTTAAACCCGCCACCACCCGACACATCCACTTAGTAGGGTTTGTCACGTGAACAAACCGTGGCCAATTCGTTACGAGAACAGCACACACCGATTGTGCGTTGGAGAGTGAACCCACAACAACATCGCTCCGTCTCTCGCCTCTGTTGTTGTTGGTTGTTGTCTGTTGTTGTTGTTTGTTGTTGTTGTTGTTCATCCTCTCCGTGTGACGCGTCCAGCGCGAGCCTAAGAGCCACTGACGCCGCGCGTGTCACGCGGTGTTCGCAGGGCAAGGCCGTCACCGTCGGCGCGTCTGAACAAACCTCCCGTTCGGTCGCCCTGCCCGCTCGTCTGCGGTGCCTCGTCTCGGAGCGATGCAAGTTGCGCGCACGACGACGACGTGGAACTGACCTGTGATGGTGGCGGTGACGACGATAACTACCGGGGAATGATGATTATCATGAATGAACATGTAGAACGACGCCGTGTGTCACCACCTTCACCTGTGTCACCACCCTCACCTGTGTCACCACCCTCACCTGTGTCACCACCCTCACCTGTGTCACCACCCTCACCTGTGTCACCACCCTCACCTGTGTCACCACCCTCACCTGTGTCACCACCCTCACCTGTGCTCGCGGCTCCGTGGTCGGCACCCGGAGCTCGGTGACTGCCACGGTCGCCTGGGCAGCCTGGGACCCGGGGGGTGGAGGGGGGTCTTCTGCTCCTCGCGCCGGCAGTGGGGGGCTCAGCTCGCGCCCGCACCCCACGGCTCCCCGTGTAGCCCCCCCCCCCCTCGTCTCTCACCTCGAGTCCCCTTCGAGTGCCGCCACCCGCGCGTTCCTGCTCGCCCCGTCGCGCACTCGCCTCTCAGCCTCCCTCACTCCCTCTCTCTCTCACTCCCTCTCTCCCCACCACCTCTCTCACTCCCTCTCTCCCCACCACCTCCCTCTCTCTCTCACTCCCTCTCTCCCCACCACCTCTCTCACTCCCTCTCTCCCCACCACCTCCTCTCTCTCACTCCCTCTCTCCCCACCACCTCCCTCTCTCTCTCTCGTTCGCTCTCCGCTACCAGCACCCCCCCTCCCTCTCTTAGTACCCCCCCTCTCTCTCCCCACCACCACCTTCTCTCAGTCTGCCCACCACCACCACCCTCTCTCTCCCACTATCACCCCCACCGTGCTCATTCTCACCATCTCCACCAACACTCTCACTCTCCCGATCACCCCCATCCCCTCTCCTCTCTCACTCACTTACCACTACCACCATCATCCACTCTCCCACTCACCCCACCATCATCACCACCATCCCCTCTCCCACTCACCTCACCATCATCCCCTCTTCCACTCACCCCACCACCACCACCATCCTTCTCCCACTCCCACTCACCCACTCACCCCACAATCATCTACTCTACCACTCACTCACCCGACCACCACCATCCCCTCTCCCACTCACCCCTCCCCTCTCTCACTCACTCGCCCCACCATCTCCATCTGCACTGACTCTGCCCAGTTCCCTACCCCGCCGGGCCACGCCTGAAGGGCAGCGCTGCCCGCGTGTGGCGAGGAGTGGGAGGAGGTGGCGACCATTGCGAGCTAGTTCACACAAAGACAAAGACCCCCCCCCCCCCATAGCCTCAACAGAGGGGGTGGGGTCGCCAGCACCACGCCCGACCGCATTTGTGTCCCCAGTGGCGATGTTTTTACACACCGCACCGAGTAATTATTCGAGGCTGAGTCGACCTAGGGGAGGCCCAGGACTGGTCCATCGGGTTTCACCATCGGCCGTGTTCAATCCACCGCTGGACGGAGGCCTCCCCAAGCCGTTGCGATGGAACGCGCCACCCGGCGCCTGTCCCCGCGCGAGGTTCAAGCCCGCGGCGTCGCAGTCGCAGTCGACGGCGGCGCGAGACGGAGCTGTCGCGTCAGAGCCGTGCGGGGGCGACGGCTTGACGGCGAATTATCATCCAGCGGTCGATTGACAAAGGCCCGTCAGCTATGAATATTATTGTTGTTTTTCTTCTTGGTTCTTTCGGCAAAGTCACGTAGAAGGGAAATAATAAAATAAAAGGAATGATATTTTTATTATTTTATAATTTAAAAAAATATTTGTATTATTTCCCTTCTACGTGACTACCGAAAAAACCAAGAAGATTAATCCCTGCAGTCACGAAAGCTTTAAATCGAAAAATTATTGTTGTTGTCATTATTATTGTCGTTCATTCTAGATTTGAAGCTTTCGTGACTGCAAGGATTCGTACTCTTTGTTTTTTTCGGTGAAGTCACGTTGCGTCTCAAAGGGGGAGCCGAGCGAAACGTTGGACAAAAGGTGGCGCAGCCAGCGAAGCGGCACGGGCAAACAAATGTGTCTGCGCCCCGCACACAACATCCAGTTCGAGCAGTGGCTCTTCTTCTTGGCATCCTGGGTGCACCACGGAGCACCCCCTGGGGGGGGGGGGGGGCTGTGTGAGATGCCCTGCTGGGGTGCGCGAGAAAAGACAAATTAAAGATGGGAACATTGTGGTGCAACTTACTTTGTTTCAGCAAACCCGATGTAGTTATTGACATTGTACATTTCTACTTGCGTTTGAGAACCAAAGGGGCGCAGGGCTGCAGTAAAGGTCGTGGACCACTGTGTTAGGTTTCGTGGTCGTGTTAGGGGTGGGGTAAATGGTAGTGTTAGTGGTAGCGTTTGTGGTAGTGTTAGGGGTGGGGTTAGTGGTAGTGTTAGGGGTGGGGTAAGTGGTAGTGTTAGGGGTAGGGTTAGTGGTCGTGTTAGGGGTGGGGTTAGTGGTAGTGTTAGTGGTGGGGTTAGTGGTAGTGTTAGTGGCAGGGTAAGTGGTAGTGTTAGGGGTAGGGTTAGTGGTCGTGTTAGGGGTGGGGTTAGTGGTAGTGTTAGTGGTGGGGTTAGTGGTAGTGTTAGTGGTGGGGTTAGTGGTAGTGTTAGGGGTAGGGTTAGTGGTAGTGTTAGTGGTAGGGTTAGTGGTCGTGTTAGGGGTGGGGTTAGTGGTAGTGTTAGGGGTGGGGTAAGTGGTAGTGTTAGGGGTAGGGTTAGTGGTAGTGTTAGTGGTGGGGTTAGTGGTAGTGTTAGTGGTAGGGTTATTGGTAGTGTTAGGGGTGGGGTAAGTGGTAGTGTTAGGGGTAGGGTTAGTGGTAGTGTTAGGGGTAGGGTTATTGGTAGTGTTAGGGGTAGGGTTAGTGGTAGTGTTAGGGGTAGGGTTAGTGGTAGTGTTAGGGGTAGGGTTAGTGGTAGTGTTAGTGGTGGGGTTAGTGGTAGTGTTAGGGGTGAAGTTAGTGGTAGTGTTAGGGGTGGGGTTAGTGGTAGTGTTAGGGGTAGGGTTAGTGGTAGTGTTAGGGGTGAAGTTAGTGGTAGTGTTAGGGGTGGGGTTAGTGGTAGTGTTAGGGGTAGGGTTAGTGGTAGTGTTAGCGGTGGGGTAAATGGTAGTGTTAGTGGTAGCGTTTGTGGTAGTGTTAGGGGTGGGGTTAGTGGTAGTGTTAGGGGTGGGGTAAGTGGTAGTGTTAGGGGTAGGGTTAGTGGTAGTGTTAGTGGTGGGGTTAGTGGTAGTGTTAGGGGTGGGGTTAGTGGTAGTGTTAGGGGTGGGGTTAGTGGTAGTGTTAGGGGTGGGGTTAGTGGTAGTGTTAGGGGTAGGGTTAGTGGTAGTGTTAGTGGTGGGGTTAGTGGTAGTGTTAGGGGTGGGGTTAGTGGTAGTGTTAGGGGTGGGGTTAGTGGTAGTGTTAGGAGTAGGGTTAGTGGTAGTGTTAGCGGTGGGGTAAATGGTAGTGTTAGTGGTAGCGTTTGTGGTAGTGTTAGGGGTGGGGTTAGTGGTAGTGTTAGGGGTGGGGTAAGTGGTAGTGTTAGGGGTAGGGTTAGTGGTAGTGTTAGGGGTGGGGTAAGTGGTAGTGTTAGTGGTAGGGTTAGTGGTAGTGTTAGGGGTGGGGTTAGTGGTAGTGTTAGTGGTAGGGTTAGTGGTAGTGTTAGGGGTAGGGTTAGTGGTATGGTAGGGTTAGTGGTAGTGTTAGGGGTAGGGTTAGTGGTAGTGTTAGGGGTGGGGTTAGTGTGTGTGGTTACGAGTAGTGCTCGTGTTAGGCGGAGTGTTCGAGAAGTGGTTCTTCTTCTCAACCTGGGGTGCATCTCACAGCACCCCCTGGGGATGCTGTGAGATGCCCTTTCTGGGGAGGTGCGAGACGTGGCCAGATTTTGTTTACGCGGCAAACCATCGAAAACACAAATTAAGCACGTGGCAACGTAAGTGCAACTGCTTTGTTTCATCACACCTACGTATTTATTAAGGTTCTAGTTTTTGTTAACGATTGAGAGTCAAAGGGATGCAAGGCTGCAGTGAAGGTGAAGAAGCACTGAGTTAGACGAGCAATGCCCGCTCTGCCTGTGGTGCCCGTTAATACGACTCGCGTGGCCAGTCTGTCAGCAGCGATCCGGTGAGAACCGATTCCCCGGGCTGATGACCCTCCGCTCGCTACTCCGTGGCTGCGTTCGGGACGTGGAGCTGGCTGAGATGACACAGCGGGCAATTAGCGGCACATTAGCGGGGAGATTGAGATCAATCAGCGCTGACCTGCATGGCGAGCCCATGCCGCTCATCGCTGGCAGCTGCCGACTGCGCGACCCGAGACGGGCTGGGTGGCTGCCTTGGCCCAAGCTCGCGTTTCGTGATTGTGAATATTGGCAGGAATCGATGTCCACTTTTGCAATCTATACTTTATATATATTTGTTGTTGTTGTTGGCGACTCGCTTACCTGCCGTGTACTTTGCGCTCTCATCGTGTCTTTACATTTCCTCTCTGATCTGAAAATAATCGACACGGCGCCTTATCCAGGGCGCTTGACACAAGAATTGCCAAGGGTGCAACAACGTTTGAATGTAATGGTGGTGATGAGGTGAATGAAACGGACGAGAGGAAGCGATGGGGGCGCGTCTGTGATGCGTGAATTCGGCGAAAGCGAAATGGATAACGGTACACGATGAAGGAGAACGGATTGAATGAATGGGGAATGAGTGAGAGCCACTCATGAAGAGGGGACAGCGGTGGTGATGGTGGTGGCTTTGGCGGCAGATTAAGGGGGGGGGGGTCGTGGGGTGAGCTAGAGAACAATAAATGAGTTGTGAGTGCAGAGAGGAAACTAGTGAGCGATGTGATGACATATTTCATATACATGATGATATATTTCATATTCTTGGTTCTTTCGGTAAAGTCACGTAGAAGGGAAACAATAAATAAAATAAAAAATAATAAAAACATTCTCAGTGAGAATTGTATTGTTTTATATATTTTTTTAATTTTATTGTTTCCCTTCTACGTGACTTTACCGAAAGAACCAATAATATGAATCCCTGCAGTCACGAAAGCTTTAAATCAAAAGATGTATTTCATATACATAAAATCGGCGACGTTTCGGGTAATGGTTATTCTGCGTGTGTGCTAGTGCAGGGCCTGTAGCATATGTTATAAAGGGGTCCTAAATATAAAAAAACAGATAAATATTAAAACACTAATTTTTTACATGCATAGTAAAGTAATTGTATTTTTTCATTTGCTATACAACCAATACTACGACAAATCGCAAACCTTAAACACCCAGTCGTTCATAAAAGTTGAAGGCAGAATAGTACTATAGTAATAGAGCAAGTGCAGAATCACTGAACCGGAATTGATAGCTTGAAAGCATTTAGCGCGGGGCCCATGAAAGTGCGGGGCCCGTAGCATTGTGTAGCTACTTGTGCTACGAGGATAATCCGGCACTGTGCACTGCGGCGTCGTGAAATAATGACTGATTAATACTGGTAGGGACCTCCTGGTTACACCAGCCCACATGGGATTATTGTGTCCGTCCGTCGTGCAGGAATGGGCTAGATGGGGAGGAAGGGGCTGGGTGGGGAGGGGAGGGTGGGGAGGGGCTGGGTGGAGAGGGTGGGGAGGGGCTGGGTTGGCGAGGGTGGGGCTGGGTGGGGGGTGGGAGGGGTGGGGCTGGGTGGAGAGGGGCTGGTCACCCCGTGGTGCCCTTATAAAACTCAACGTTTAACCTACTCACGCCGGCTTGTGCCCGCCCTCACAGTCGGGTATATTGGTGGAATACACCACGCCGCCGTTGACCCTGGCCATTGACCGAGCAACCCAACGTTCCTACCAGCTCCCTCCGCAGGAATGTGTTTTTCGTACCGAATTCGGAAGGAAAAAAATCCACATTTCTCTTCTTGTTATTGTGGACGCCTGGGTTAGACGTTGGGCGCGCGCGATGGAGCGGTGGCGCAGTGGTGAGCGGCTCCCGGCCACGGCTGTCATCGGTAGCGAGTGAGGAGGAGGGTGATGAGTGGGCGAGGGAGGATGAGGGAGCAGGAGGAGCTCTGAAGCGGCGTGCCGCCACCAGGTCCGACAGCCCTCAGCCCCAAAGACAAAGGCGCCCGTATAGCCTGTTGGGGCAAGTGCTGTTAGCAAGCGCCTGTGAAGGCCACACGAGGGTGGCGAGTGGCCAGGAACACGCCCCGCCACCTTCGTCTCCCGAGCGAGCGGCTGTGTTTTACACGTATCATCAGCTACTCGTTTGAGGCTGAGTCGACCTACGGGAGGCCCAGGATCGCGTCTGGTAATCTACACCGGCGTTGGCGGCCGCGAGCGGGAATCGAACTCGGCGCCGAGCGGCGTGTTTGCGTGTGCGCCACGGTCATTGATCCCGAGTCTGGAGCGCGTGCGACGCGTGCGTGACCCCGACGGATCCGGTCAAGGCGGGCAGCTCCTGCTGTCACTCCACTGCTGGATAAGGGCCTACCCGATCATGGGTTGCTGTGCAACCAAACCCGACCCACCCTGATCAGCGCGATTAACAAGAAGCCTCAACACGCTCATCAACAACACGGTGGCATTAAGCAACGATATGTATGTAATCCTCGACGTTTCGGACAATCGCCCTTCTTTTTGCACGTGGCAGTGCGGGTGTTTTTTTTGTTCTCTCCAAGTTCGTTTTGCTCAGATGGTGTCTCGTTCGCAAAGGGAGGAACCTCCTCCCGGTGGGTCACCAAAACCACGACGAGTCGAACAATGGACGCGCACACACAGAGAGAGGGCAGCATCATCTTCTCACTCCACGCCGGCCCCTCTCTCTGCCCTTCTCTCTCTCTCTGCTTCGCCTGTGCTCAGGCGAAGATGGCGGTGTACAGAACCAATAAAAAGATGCTGCAAGGTGACACTGACGGCTGCTCTGTGCTTCCAGTGTTCAGGGACCTGCTTAAGGCGCGGCTTAAGCAGGCCCCTGGAGCACGCGTACCACACACATGTCGGTGATGTGCGCGTCTTCTTCGAACGCTGGGGAGCCGGAAAAGCCCTCTGTACCAGCGTGGACGGCACCCTCGTGTTCACCTTCTGAAGCGCTCGCTCATCACCGTGGCTACGCGATGACCGCCACAACCACGTGGCTTTTCTTTCGTGTTGTGCGCGGTGCTTTTAGCGCCACAGCGCGTGGATTTGTAGCGTTTATTTTCATTTGTGTTGCTGGTGACTTTGTGTGTTTCATATCGGAATCGCCTCCAGTGCTGTTGCTGCTGGCAGCAATAAAAGTTGTTTAAAAGTCAAAAAAGTATCTCGCTCTCTCTGCCCCCCCTCTCTCTCTGCCTCTCTCTCTGCCCCCCCCCCCCCCTCTCTCTCTGCCCCCCCCTCTCTCTCTGCCTCTCTCTCTCTGTCCCCCCTCTCTCTCTGCCCCCTATCTCTCTGCCCCCTCTCTCTCTGCCTCTCTCTCTCTCTGCCCCCCCTCTCTCTCTGCCCCCCTCTCTCTCTGCCCCCCCTATCTCTCTGCCCCCTCTCTCTGCCCCTCTCTCTCTGTCCCCCCTCTCTCTCTGCCCCCCTATCTCTCTGCCCCCCTCTCTCTCTGCCCCCTCTCTCTCTGCCTCTCTCTGTGGATGCTGCCGTAAGTTGGCAACGCGCGTGGCGCCATCTGGTGGCGCGTGGGCGACAAAGCAGTGGCGGCGGCCACGCCGTCTCAGCTGTTCGGGGGGAGTGTGACATTCATCCAGCAGTGGAGAGACCCTGGCTAATGATGCCGATGGTGCATTAGGGGGGGGGGGGGGAGGTTAGGCGAGTGAGGCATTCACTCAGCATTCGATGCATATAAAGAACTGTATTGATAAGTTCTGCAGCGCGAGGTAGTAAATGCCTTACCCCGCCACTCGTTTAGTCTACACTCATGGAATGAAGTTGAAGATACAAACGGACATCAGAATGCAATGTTCTTTGTTAATATATCAACACGGGCACGAGAATATCACAAACATTTAAAAAAAACTTACTGGGCTAATTTGTAATTTGCGGGTAATCGCCGTGTCGATTAATCGGCAATCGATCCATGGATCGAGTAATGACGTGACACGCGCCCTTTCAATCGATTGGCCGATATCAGCACGCGGTCCGCTGTCGTTGTGTCGTGATTCAGGCAAGGCCGTAATTATAATATATTGGGGGGGGGGGGGGGGACACACATCCCCACAATATTCAAACATGCTCAAAATGTCCCCCAAATATATTGCTATAAAGAATTGCTATGCTATGTAAATAAAAACAACTATTTGCTGAACCTTGGCCACAATATCTAGGCTTGTCTTCATATAACAATGCATAGATTTCTGTTTATATGATTGTGGTTATGGTTGTACTTTATTAATCCCTAATGTCTGCTATTACATACAATGAAACAAGAAATGGTAAAAAAAAAAGTTACAACAGAGCAATGTAATACAATACACTATTAGACATTATTGTAAGAAATAAATAAAAAGTCCATCCCATGTGTTAGTGATTTTTTTAATATTTTAGGCAGGAAATTAGTTTTCAAATTTAGATCTTTTTCTGGGTTGGGACCCCCAGACACCCTGGGAGATTTGGTCCCCCCCCCCCATGTTGACTCCATGGCTACGGCCTTGGGTGGAAAAAATAAGATTTTTCCAGCGGCAGGCATCGGGTTTTTTCTTTAATACAATTAACCCCGATTTCGGGGAATTAAAACCTGGTTTAATGAATACGTAACTCTGAGAGGCTTAGGCTGCTTCCTCGTCGGTGCTGCTGTCGTACTCGGGGGGCCGTCGGGCACGGGGTAGTCGTAGAATGCGGCGGGCAGGTTGGTCTTGATGAACACGAGCTTCTCCACAATCGTGGGCGCCGCCAGTGAGTTCCTGATCTTGGAATGGATGAAGCCCATCGTTGAGAAGTTGGCGAAGTGCGGTTCTGCAATTAGAACCAATTAAACCGGATTTCTCCCAATCTCAGATGATCGGGTTTAATATAAATATACAATTAAACCCGATTGTAAAAAACCCGACTGTGCCACCCTTGATTCAGGCGCAACCGAGAACGCTCACGCCGCCTGCTGGACACGGCGTGCATGGCACGGACAGTCAGAAGGTGAAGCACGCCTTCTGACTGGTCGTTAACGGGGCCTGAAGGGGGATTGGTTAGAGGCAGGGGATTGAGGAGCAACGTCAGGTGGAGAGAGCGGGACAACGGAGGATGATTGATGGGTGGGTCGGTTGGGATCCGTTGGAGAAAGTGGGAAGTCGGGGAAGCGGAGGGTCAAGGTACCTTCGGGGAAAGGGCTCGAGGGACATGCGGCGTGTTTCAAAAGATGGACCCAATTTCAAAGCAGTATATTTGACGATGGCAATATGTTACAGTTACACAAAAAGTTACAAACCGTTTAATGAGTTATCAAGTTGTACTAACCATTTTATAAATGCTCTATGTGCCCTCCACCTGCTGTACGGACAACATCGAGACGATAGT